CTGATGGTGACGAGGTTGGGCTCATCAGTTTGAGAAACTCTCGTATAGACAGTCAGCCTGGGGTGTTGGGCCTGCTCCAGGGGCCCGATGATTCTGGGGTGCAAGGTCAAGATGGGGGAACCGATTTCACACCAGGACATCGACGAACTGGTTCGGGCCGTGTTATCTCTACTATATGGACAGGCAGTGGACCTGGCGCCTCATCAGGAGGGCCAGGCCTTCAGCGACTACCAGAGCGGATGCAGTCCGCAGTGTTTGCCATTTATGGAACAGACAACACTTGGCTTTTCGCAGCACGGAGCGAGCGTGACAAAATGGACTGGATCTTTCGAATCGATCAAACATATATGTCAAGCAACGACAGTGTCCCCGGAAGTGGGATAGCCAGCCCTTACCCCGGGAGCGATTTTTAGAGCGGGTGAGCCTGCTTGTTATGAGAGTAATGACTTGCAACGTCCTCTTGGGGAAACGATTTTCTTTGTAACTATTTGATGGTGAATTAGATGAGATGACTTATACCCCCACAGGAGTAGGAGGGCAATCATGTAGATTTGCTTAAATTTTGGATATATCTTAGATAAAAGAATCAACTGAGAACCACAGACAAAACCAAGCGCAATGGCCACACCGAGTATCCGGTTTTCTGTTGTACATACCTGTGCTGTTACCCCTATCGGCCATTGTGAGGTTATGCTAAGCCAAATACCGTGGAGCTTCAATGGTTCTGACGCAAGAGAGACCCATGCCGTGAATTAGAGGCTCTAGCTTGCCATGCTATGACACAATCGACACGAGGACCATCAGAGCTGAGGGCAGCTACCATAGTTCACCTCTTATAGATATACAAATATGTTGGAATCTCTCCTTGTCAAAACCAGGTGGTGCTCACCTACAAGAGTGCAATAATGCAACGGTGTTTCTTGTAAGTGGTGAAACATGCCATGCAGCGCACATTCAAAGTTGTGCAAGTAATATAATTACCTAAGTGAGAGGCTACAAGATACGTAAAACTCAGCAACGCATGAATGGCTCGAGTGGTGATTCTAGTGCGGGAGCTGGGACGGAATAGATCACCCCGTTCCCCTAACCAATAGGGCATCTTCCGCAGGTAGTTAGAAGATTAGTTTAAGGCCAGGGATGCCCGGGGAAAACGGCTTCGGAGCGAAGCAAGAAAAAGTTAGGGGGCTGCCCCCAGAATTTCTCGAGAATTCGATTTCGGAGGTATAAAGCTGGGCATGGGAACTTGCACCGAGATTATAACGTTTGGGGTGTAAGTGCTGAGTGCTGACGACGTCCCGGGAGATGGTTTTGGAGAACAAGGCAATCTTATCAAAGGGAAGCAAAGTTGGTAAACTCTTTGGTATCGGAAATGAGCTTATGGTATAAACTTGTGATTCTATTACTATTGACTGCGATGAAGAGATGTGTTTCCGAGGTGTGTATAAGCCAAGTACATGTAGCGAAACCTTGCGCAAGGTGTCTTGATCTTGGTGACGGCCCAGGAGCATACATCATGGTTAGCAATGTCATAATGTCTGTCGATTGGTTCGGTAATGCCCAAAAGAAGTCCTGATTTGTTGGATGTCTCTCCACATGTGGTTGGTCTAGCCAGTCCCCAGAAATAGGATGCGAAGATAAACTCATCAGAGATGGACTGACTTACCTATGTAAATATTTTCTTATTTACAAACGAGGTTATGAATTTTATTGCATCCATCAGCTACTGCTATTTTCATATCTCGATTAATGCCAACACGCAGGTTGAATTACATACAGCCTTGATCTTAGCGCGTCTCCAATGTTGGAAAACAAATACAACTGAACCAGGATGAAGGAAGAAGAGGGGAATGGAAGACGCCGAAGGAGAAAATGTTCACGAGACAGGGTGTTATTTGGCCCGCTTATTAATAGTAGCTCAACTCAAAATGAGAGAAGAGTTTTCTGAAAGGTGAAGACAGACCCTAGACTGATGGATTGGCAGAAGCATATCTTCGGGGCACAACGTTGACAAGGACAAGGAGTGTTTGAGACGCTAGGAATAGCAGAAGTAATTAAACTTTGTGTACGAAGAAATACGTAAAGCGGTGCTCCTGGCGGTAAACATTGACTCTGAGTCGCCAAGTTACCTACGTAGCAGCATGTGCATATTATTACTACGCTATGGAATACTATATGATGCATTGAGTTTGGAAGAGGCTACTGACTTCATGTCACAAACTGCACTTAAGTCGGCGTGAAACACGGGACGGTACGAAGCCGGCAGCAGTAAAAGGCTTGCGATGACAAATATTTCTTAGCTACTGGGAGATGTGTGGCCAGTACAGAGTAACTTTTTCCAGATCATGGATGGCGTTGATTGTGCTCACGGGCTGTTCCTTATTAGTGGGTTCATCACGGGAGGCAGATTGAGTTTCTACCAGTTTCAGAGTTAGAGCCAACTTCGTTAGTTGCATGACTAAAAGAATCGGGGCCAGAGTACCTTAGCCTATGGCCCCATGCTGTAGAGGCATAAAATACCTATGTTAGCGCTGTATTAGATCTTGAACATATAATGATGAGCGACGTGTTTTCAAAACACAATCAAACGGAGACTGTTCCATCGGCAAGCTTGTTCTGTGACATCTGGAGCTTGACATGTCTGAGGGTAAAGTTTACAGGGTATTTCGGCCTTGTCATAAGCCAAGTCTTTTGACAGTACCTTATTTGTTCCAGGAGGGAGATTTCCATCACAAAGCGAAAATTGAACTTCAGATCGTATGTATATCCAATATTGGTAGGTTCTATCGTGACCTGTGATTTCATCGACTTGTACCCTCCTTAATTGATCAAAAGCATGCATTTCTCATCCACTCCCCACGGATCTCAGAATAAATTACTCTAATCTCCTCCTATTCAACTCTCCCTTGATAACTACCCCCAAAAGAACATCACATCATACCATATCATTTCGTATCACGCACACAAGAACATCTTCTGGTATGTGTCGTCGGTTTCGTTGATGTGGCTTGAACCTTTGTGGTGGCTTCTTATAAACCGCAGTCTTCAAGTCCATAGGTGTCAACCTAGGCTGAGAATCAACCACCTAACAGGCCCTATAATGATGCTTGACGAATAGGCCGAATGCTTCCCTCTTCATAACTCGCACAGGACATTCGGTGGACATCGCTAAAAACACAAAATCCTCTCGAGATACACATCCACCAACGTGAGAACAAGGATCGTGACCATTCCCAAGCCGTCGGAAAGGCGGTTGGTTACACCTTGTCCGACCCAAGCCATCGGATTTTATCCCAGCGCCCGGCCGTTAGGCTTGAGCTAGCCCACCCACGTCGTTGGGACCGCCCGAAGCCCCTTGATGAATGAGAGGGATGAGGGACCAGGGTCTCGACGGGAGTTTGTTTTGCGTACCCGAAGTCATTTGCAGGCTCAGAGGAACTACCGTGGCCAATGGCGGCATCTCCTTGCATAACTTGATACAACGCTAATATCGAATTTTCCGTCCCTGGCTCAGAACATTGCTATGCTTGCGCTGCAATTGCTTGTTTCCTCGCTTTGTCTCCTCACAAGGGGTTACAAATATGCCCGGCCCCATTTATCGGAATATTACCAGTGAGCTAAGGGATCGTATATGCTCGTTTGTCTCTAGTGGACAGCCACATAATTGCATAGATACTTTGTCGACATACCTCTTGCTCTTCTTATATCCTGTTACCGGTGTATGTTCTTGGTGAGTAGTTGGTGATTCACAGGTAGGCAGCTGCCGGATTTCATATATGGCGTGATGGGCTGGCTGTATTACAAACACGACTCAAAATTCACCTTTTTGGATCCCAGTTCCCGACGGAATGGGTCGGGTCGCCTCTTGTGTACAGTACTGTACAGGCGCTCTAGGCTGGGGTAGTCTAGTCACCACACCAAGACAGCGCAGCATCCAATCCTCGGGGGGAAATAAAAAACGACCCCTCGATGGGTGCAACGCCAGCGAATTTTGGTGCATTGGGGGTCGTTTATTATTCCCCCCCCTAGCCAATGCCAATGACACATCAGCAACAAGCGCTTGTTCCACTTGCAGTTCTTTTGCTTTGCGGTAGGGCTTTGTGGCTTTGCCAAGAAAGCCGAGAGCTAGATACCCGTCCCAAGCTGCTGGGTCCCAAGCTCCATTGCTTGACCCCGTCCTCGTCTCTTGTCTCCATCCTCTTGGTCCCCTTTGCTAACTCATTAGCTACTTAGCTACCCTGACTGAATCCACTCCTCAAGCCTCGGTCGCACCAGGTGTTTGGGTCGCTTCCCGTTTCCTTTCAACTGGCCTTGTCCTTTACTTTACTGCATTGCTCTTCTAGGCCTGGCTCCTTTTCTTATGGTGTTTCTACAGAGAGCGGGGATTCCATTCAAGCTTCTCGCCCTTCTCCATTTCCATAACTAGCTTCTATTTCCCGACCCTTCTACCTACTCTAGCTCCTGATCTCTCCTGACCTCGCTGGAACTACATAGCACTTCTTCCTGATGCCGCTCTAAGCGTCCCTCTTCGAGAGACCGATCAGTAGCTAGTGTCGATCGTCTTTTGCTCCCGTCTTCCCCTCATTGTGCTGAACGCTCCACGATACCACCAATAACCTCCTTGTCGAATTTGTCTCGTGTTTTTTATCCGCGATCACCACCAGCGCACATATTCGATTCATATTACCATTGGATTTTCGCTCCGCATCGGTATTCATGATCGACTGCCAAGTCTTACATCAGAACGACTTTCAGGGCTTTTCACTTTTTGGACCGTCGACGGTGTATAGGTCGTTCGCCACAAGGGAAGTCTCAGCGTTTCTCAGCTCCAAGTCGGCGAAGCGCAATTACTCGCAGCGTCGGGTCGAGTTGCCTTTTCCTTCATGATTTCAGCCAAGAGCCGCTTCTGTTCTTTTGCCTGATACTCAGTCCTTGTCATACATAACTGTGACTATCTTATGGCGCCTGCTGTAATGGCAGCCCAGTCACCAAGCCATGGCAGCATGCCTAACTCATCACCTTCAAGTCTTCACCATTTTCAGTTTACTTTCAACTGCTCCGCTTCAAATTCTGGCGGGAACAGTTTCATTGAACCTGATGTATGTACTTCTCTTCTGTACCTTAGCTCAAGGGCGTGCTGACTTTGTGTAGCCTGATGCTCAAGGCATGTAAGTTGTCGAAACCCATAGTGCACCTTCACCGTGTTAATTCCGCCTAACAAGAACTATCAGAGACTCCGAATCTCTCACAGACAGTGTACAGAATTTCCCAGAAGAATTTGGGCGCACGTATCATGCCTACCGGGCTGGCTGTAAGCTTTGTCTAGGTATCCATTCACCACCAGTCACCCAATAATGACGCCTTTTAGCATATGCGTTTCCCAACGACCAACTAGAACGTGAGCGCCTTGATTTACAGAATGAAGCATTAGTAAAGCTCTTCGGTGAGCGTCTTTACTTTGCACCACTGTCAAGGAGGGCACCGCCTGTAAATATCCTCGATATTGCTACTGGTACTGGCGACTGGGCAATCAAAATGGGCGACTTGTTTCCAGAAACAGAAGTCGTCGCAACCGACCTTTCACCAATACAGCCTCGAAAAGTACCCCCGAACGTGAACTTTTACGTCGAAGATTCGTATGTCAACAACATCTAGGTCTCAGGTGACCCTTTGAAAACTCACTTCTCTCTAGCTCTGAGCCGTGGGATTATTCTCAGCCTTTCGATTATATTCACACCCGAGTCACATCTGGCTGCTGGGCTAGCTTCAAGGAGCAGATTGCGGACCAAGCCTTCCAAACACTGAAGCCAGGAGGCTGGTTTGAGTCGCAGGAATACGATGCCATTATAATGTCTGATGATGGAAGCCTTCCACCGAACGGACCTCTTGCAACATGGTTCCGCGAAATCAACGAAGCTTCAGAATTGATGGGCCGGCCTACCAATGTTGCTGCCCATGTTCGTGAGGCATATGTGCAGGCGGGTTTTGTTGACGTTCAAGAGCGAATCTTCAAAATGCCCATGAATGGCTGGCCAAAGGATGAACGCCTAAAGGAACTTGGGCGCATGTGGGAAAGGAATTTCTTGATGGGCCTCAGCGGCTTCTCTTTCACGCTTTTCAACCGCGTCTACGAGAGAACTCCTGCACAGATTGAGGTAAGTATACTGTCAAGGTTTCTGGGACTTATCTGACCGAAAGTCGCAGGTGGCACTGGTTGATGTCCGACGAGAGCTGATCGATACGCGGATTCACGCTTATATACCAATACACGTCATTATTGGCAGGAAGCCATTCCCGGGCGAACGATCTATCCCACGAGTGCCATTTACATGAAGGGAAAATACCGGGGACTGGAACGAACTACCACCACTCATTGAGTTTTAATGGTTGAGAAAGGGAGCCTGGCATACGGTTCAGAAGGACTAATTCCAACACCGATAAAGCACCACTACACGAACAATGCATAGCGACAACGGGGACGACTTTGGCTTTTCATATCCACGATACCCAATGATGTCGATACGATGCACATGACTAGAATAATGTATTGATATGGGTTTAGGTACAATAAGTACCGACCTGCACTTTTGATAGCCGCCTGTCCCAAAGCTCTGGAGTCTGTGATGAATGGCAAGGAGATTGTTAGACGACATAACTCTCATCTAAAAGTACTACAGAAGCAACCCGTTTCTAATACAAATGTCTTCTCTTTGCACAAATGTCAGTCTGTATCTCTGTCCTTGAACATTTATCCCGATCTCCTTACGAGCCAATCCAGTTCGCGGGCTTGCTCTTCTTTGAGTAGCTCACGAATTCCCTCTTGGGTGAGGAATGCATGGTCGTGGTATTCAAAGCCAGGGACAACCGTCTCTGAGATCAGCAGGCCCCCGGTTTCCTCTCTATTTGACTCGTGGCTGGTATCTGGCTCGTTGGGGAGCAAGTAACTTGCCTTCCAGACATCGCCTTCAACGATCCATTGTATACGCTCGCCCCGTTCAACTGCATTCCCGACAATAAAGGACTCGATGTGCCCATCAGGGTGGATGAGTACATATCGTCCCCGTCCACGATGTAAGGTATGAATCACACGGCTGCGGTTGCGATGGAAGTTCCCCTGACTATGGCGTGGGGTTAGTAGGTAGTAAATGGTGGTAGAGAGGCGTCGTGTATTCGCCCTGTAACCTTCACGAGCAGGACCCGAAAGAGTCAGAGTTTCGTGAGAGAGAGCTTCGGATGAATACGGCGAAGGAATTGTAGTAGGGTTTGTATCGGTTTGGCGGAAGTAGCCCCCTTCGATATGGGGCTCCAAGGATAGAGCCTCGATAAGAGACTTTGACTGAGAGTTTTCAGGTTCGGATGAAGAGGTGAATGAAGGTTTGATGGTGCCCAAGTCAGGCTCGCTGTTGACGAGTTCGCCCATCTTGTGATTGGTATCAAATAAAGCAGGATATTAATCGTTTTACGAATATGATACAGGATAAAAATTGCTTTTGTGTTGGCAGCAGTTGAAAGATGGAAAGCTCCTTTTATACCCCCGTGAATAGAGACTGAGCAAGAGACTGATAGCGTAACAACAAAGCTTACACACTCGACTATAAGACGTTGAATGTGTGGTTCGCCGCCGTTGCGCCCACACCAATGTGATGGGCTGTTTGATAAGAGGGCCTGCAAAACGAGACCCTCTTGGTGTGATTCAGGATTCAAAACTACTCAAAGAAGCTAGTATCATGTTAGCAAACGATGATGGTGTAAGCCAAAGTCTGACCTCCAGGGAATGATTACGAACTCAGGCTAGGATAAAGAGGTCTAGAATTGGCTTTTAGATTTTGGCAGGGAGTTTGTACTGAGGTTAGGTTGCTGAGATGATGTCAGGGTTGCTCTGAAATGAGCTACCTGTGGTGAAGATGCTCCATCGCGTGGTGGTCAGGCCAAGCCCGTAGTTTCCGGGTCATATGCCTACAAGAACAAGCCGTTGATTGTATATGACAAAAGTTTCTGTGTGATAGTAAAGCTTGAATCTGGATGTCAGCTGTTGGGTTTGTGATGCGGAAGCAAATTTGTTAGTGTAGTTCGTGATACTATTCGGAAATCCCAAGGAACAGGCACGCCGACCACTAGGTATGGATAAGATCTCATTGGGGCGGATGAGTACGGAGTAAAGGTGTGTCAGTTGTCAGGTGCTGAGTACCTGTGATGATCAGACTGATCTGTAATTTCAGTATTGGTAACAATTACAGAGCTATACGCTCATTCATTCATGAGTGGATGTCGAGCCCAAGGGTCCCTGGAACGGAAAGAAAATAAGGGCGGGCTGTAACAGCTATCACCAAAGAAGACCATGGAGACAGTGAAGTCTCCATCTCATGGGAGGAAGTACTTTGATTCCTGTTTTCTTATTTATCTATGAAAATCTATGAAATCTGATGATGAAAATGAAGCAAATATTTTCGTTCTTCTCAAGAGCGTCGGTGTAGGTAGTACATCTATCATCTCCGTGCCTCAGCGCTTTTAGCCGAGGCAATTAGGTGGTCTAAAGACCCACTAAACTTATCAAATCTATTCTAAACTTTGCCTAAGGTTAGTGTCGTTTATCGCTTGAATACCTAGGTTCCCGATAGCGGGCCTAGGCGGGAGAGCTGCAGACTGATCATGACGCAAACCATGAAGCTTCTTCTAACCTGCGCTGAACCAATAACTATCACGAGACACAGCAACACACAAGCAAGCACACAGTCGCCAGCCCCGCGCCCCGCTGGCTTCTTGATATTTGCTCGATCTTATCACTGCTTCTAATTAAAGAGCAAATCCCGGGATAGCAACACGGCAATTGACCGAATCACGCCGACCGCCGAATCTGACAATGACTGCCCCTCGTTTACTTCAAAAGTCATCACTGAGCATAAACCGCCCGACCATTTTCCTTATTCATCGCACCGCCATATCCTCTAGCTCTCGTCGTAGGACCTTCTCGCAATGCCAATACCGCGCCCAGCAACATTCCGAACGAGAACTACAAGAGCGCCTACAAACTGCGCGACCCCTCGTCCCACATCGCGCAGCGCGCAAGTTCACACAAGCGGGCAGTAGTCGTAATTCGCGTCTTACCGTGATAGCAACCGTTCTCGCAGCCATTGGCTTCTACTTCTACAACTCTCAGACTGTGCCGGTCACGGGCCGTCGAAGATTCAATTTCCTCTCTGATTCTATGGTCGCACGTGCGCATTCGAAAGCAGCTGCACAGGTCATTGAGCAGGTCAGAGCGCAAGGTGGTCATTTCCTATCAGAATGGGATCCAAGGACTATCTTGGTCAGGAGGGTAATGAAGAAGTTGATCCCCGTGAGCGGCATGGCGGACCTCAATTGGGAGATATTTGTGATAGCTGATAATGGTACGTTCTGGCGATCATGTGCAGCGAATGTTGGTTTGCTGACCTTTGACCATAGGAACAGCAAACGCCTTTGTCCTCCCTGGAGGTAAAGTGTTTGTGCATAGTGGTATCATCAACGTCTGCCGCAGTGAGGATGCCCTCGCAGCAGTACTAGGGCACGAGATCGCGCATAACACAGCCTCTCACGCAGCAGAGCGCCTCTCTGCTGCATGGGTAGGAAATCTTACGGCCGGAAGCTTGTTCTTCCTCGCTGGAGCTCTGCCTGGCCTTGCGCTCTTTGGACTCTGGAATGTCGTGGGAGGATATTACCTACAAGATCTACTCTTCTACCTTCCCATGGGCCGCAAGCAGGAAAGCGAGGCAGACTACATCGGCCTAATGATGATGGCCGAAGCCTGTTATGACCCCCGTGCAGCTTTGGGCTTCTGGAAGCGAATGCACGCGCTTCAGCATGCCAGCGGAGAAGAAGCCCCAGAAATGCTGAGCACTCATCCATCCGTAAGTCTAGCACATATTGCTGAGAGATTCGGGTGAACTGACGATGTGTAGAACGAGAATCGGATTGTAAAGATTAGCGAATGGCTGCCAAAGGCTCTTGAGAAGCGAGCGGAGAGTGATTGCCGTGGAACAGCAGCGTTTGCGGACCGATTCCGTGACGCGATCAGAAGAAAATCTACTACAGTTGTCGTATAATAAGCTGACCAGCATTTATGAGCCAACGAATAAAAGGTATAGAGAGCCATGATCACATCGGAGTACAGAGAAGCGGCGTACTTGTACTACAAAGGACCTTGAGTTTTGGTTTAGAAAGTATTTTCTCAGTTTCTACAAATAATCTGGATTTATGCATCAGCAATCTGTTACAGTAGATAGCTCATCCCGACTCTAATAGGGCCATCTCGAGTAATAGGTGCCGACGGGACCAGCTGGGGCTTCAAATCGAGGGCTTCCTTGTGAAAGTTGACAATTGCCTCCCTGTGATAGGTGCAGACTACCCGGCTTAGTAGCTTTCCTAGCGCACTTCCCCAGCTCCCCCGGCCCCTAAGCTTCTGAAATGGGTGAAAGTGCGGGCTGCTCGTGACCGTGGACCGAGGCAAGCCCCCCACCTGCCGACGGCGCTGCCCCCGGAAAGAACTCCTTGTTTCTTTTCCAAGCTCATCCATCATAATTTAACTAATTCACTTATCACCCACGTTCATCTACAGCTCAATTCTCTCGTCAACTTCTCATTTTCGTTATAACTACAACTAGCTACCTTCCAAAATGTCCGAGACATATACTACCGCCGAGGTTGGAAAGCACAAGGATGAGGCCAACGGTTTCTGGCTCATTGTTGAGAATGACGTTTACGACGTGACCAGTACGGCGACCGAACCCAAAATCGCAGAACAAAACTGACAAACATCCGCAGAGTTCATCGATGAACATCCCGGTGGTGCTAAGATCCTGAAGCGCTGGTCTGGAAAGAACGCTACCAAGGCCTTCTGGAAGTACCACAACGAACATGTCCTGGCAAAGTATGGCAAGGACCTCAAGATTGGCGCTGTCGGCGAGAGCGCCAAGCTATAGAGAGATGCCCAACTCTGAGACTCGAAGGCGGCAGCGTGCACTTTTCTCTGATTTGATTTGATTTAATTTGATTTTGGCATGGCGCATACCACATGTTGGATTAAGCTACACTATATAGGTGGATTTGTATCGAGTTCAAAGATCTCAGTCTAGAAGCGAGTGGTAGATGGTTTCACACACCAGGATATATCATCAGGCCATTAGAGCAAAGAAACATTCATATGGACCGAGAACTTAATCCATCGCGTGCCATCATATGAGCCTCTCTGAGTCCAGAAACATTTCTGTGGGACTATAACCCACCTTCCAAAGGGAGCATCGGATAAGTTGGCCGAGAAAACTACAGGAGTCAACACCATACAATCATCGTCTATCGTCGAAGGATCGTGCCGCCGGCTGCGGCTTAAGCGGCGAAGGCAAGTGGGGAGGCTTACATGAACGGTGTGAGATAGCGGTAAATTGAGTGACTCATGTTGTTCTCAAGTTAAACAATTTCTCTAGAGGCATTTATAACATCATCATTTTGACCTACATTTTGGGCAAGAATGAGTGACTTATTCAATCTCGACGTCCAACGGACCCGTTTATCCCGTCGCCACGGCCCCAAGCCCAGCTCCGCTCCGGCACCTACTCTTCCCGAGTTATCTACCATTCAGACCGCTGAAGCCAAGCTCCCTCGGCCTGGTTCGGATGACTACCTCCGAGGTGTCTCACAGGAAGATGTTGTACGACACATCATACAGGACATTGTTCCCGCGTGTAACGGTCAGGGCAGTTCGTCCCGTTACTACGGGTTTGTCACCGGTGGTACTCTTCCTATTGCTGAGTGGGCAGACAATGTAGTCTCCCGCCTGGATCAGAATGTTCAGGTCCATCTGCCAGCGCAGACAATTGCGACCACATTGGAGGATGCAGCTTTGGAGATGCTCGTTTCGCTACTGAGACTTGGAGATTGGAAAGGGCGCACCTTCACGACTGGAGCTACGGGCAGTAATGTTCTCGGACTTGCATGTGGACGCGAAGCCATCTTGGAGAAACGCGGGCAGAGTATTGGCGAGGTCGGCTTGCTTGCGGCTTGTCTTTCTGCTGGCGTTAGGGAGCTCCAGATCCTCACAAGTGCAGGCCATAGCTCCTTGTCTAAGGCAGCGAGTATTGTCGGCTTCGGACGAGGAGCTGTGAAGGAGCTGAGACTCAACGATAGTGAGCCGTGGAGATTGGATCTTGAGGCTTTGGAAAGAGAACTTCAGAAGAAAGACACCGCAAGTGTTATTGCATTAAGCGCTGGAGAGGTTAACACCGGTCGATATGCTTTAACGGGGATTGAAGAGATGCGTAAAGTAAGGAAGTTGGCGGACAAGTATGGAGCTTGGATCCATGTAGATGGAGGTAAGATCCAACTCTTTGCAAGAGGCCGTTCATTCTAACATTTCAGCCTTCGGTATCTTTGCTCGTGCTCTTCCCGAAGAGTACGACTACAAAGTTCTTCGTAATCGTGTTGAGGGGATCGAGTTAGCAGACAGTATCACTGTTGACGGGCACAAGCTTCTCAATGTCGTGAGTATCCCATATCATTTCGGCTTGACTTTGACTGGTTGTCACTCGAATTACTAACTCGGTCAGCCCTATGACTGCGGCATGTTCCTCACGCGATCACCTGCTATTCTTCAATCCGTCTTCACCAACCCCAATGCTGCATACCTCTCCACGGGAGGGGCGTCCACCATTCCCTCGCCCCTGAATATCGGCCTTGAGAACTCGCGGCGGTTCCGTGCCCTCCCCGCATATGCTGTTCTCCTCAGTGAAGGTCGACCAGGGATGGCAAAGTTGCTTGCTGACATGGCTGTTCTATCCCGCCGAGTCGCTGCGTTCTTGAGGGACTCGGAGCACTACGAGCTCCTCCCCGAGGACGGTGCTGGCTTGAATGAGATCTTCATGATTGTTCTTTTCCGTGCTAAGGATTCCACTTTGAACAATGAGCTAGTTCAGAAGATCAATGAGACCCGGCAGATGTATGTGAGTGGCACAAGCTGGAAGGGAGAAAAGGCTGTACGAATGGCAGTGTCCAACTGGATGGTGGATGTCGCCAGAGATTTCAAGGTGGTGACTTCTATCTTGAATCACGTGGCAGAGGGAAAGGTGTTCGACATCAACAACTGTTGAGGTCTAGGTATCAAGAAAGGTGGTTTGTGGGTTACAAGGGTTTGAGCAATTGAGGCTGGTTTTGGAACGAACATACAGTCATAAGTTGACCGTATGTACCATTTGGACTTGTGATCCCACAGTCGTCATGGCAGACAAAAAAGTGTTGGGTATCCCAGCTCCTAGTAATCACACAAGACCCAGCTCTCCGGGAGCAAGCTTGTACGTTAGAAATAACCAAAGTAGTCTAAATGCTAGTAAATCTTTACCTAAGTTTACCTAAGCTTACCTAAATTTGCCTAAATTTGCCTAAATCTACCTAAGTTTACCTAAGTCCTTTTATCATTTAGGATGGAGGTCCCGGGATAAGCTGCACAAAGATACTGAAGAGCTTGTGGATAATAACGACCTAGAAAACCAAGTCACTGATGGTGCTTCATAACGGGTAACTCGACGCCTGGAAATTACAAAAGAGCGACCTAGGTAAGGATATCGCCCCTTTCCGCTAGGTTCTGGAAACTGTTTGAACGCCTCGAAGTATCAGATATCACGAAACCCCTTTTCGGATCAATCGCACCCAAAGTTATGTCACTACCAGACGGCAAAGTCCTTCAAACAGCTGGACTCTTGGATCTGCCTCAAGTTGGTGATCCTTTCCGTCTTTTGAGTGTATGTCTGAAAGCTGTTACTGGCGGTCACAGAGATGTTCGGGGAATCTACGTAGGATCAAGTGTAGCACACAGAGCATATATCGGGATCAAAGGTCGAGGACGCATCCACTTGAAACCACTCGAGTCGCTAAACAATGGAGACAAATATAAACACAACCGTTTACTTATTCAACCTGGAATTTCTTCGAATTTCCGCAGGAATTATTCCAGAAGAGCTACAAGGGCGTGCGCCCAAGTATATCGAAGGGCTCTGGTGAAGGAACTCGAAGGCAGCGGCGGTTAAGTGGGTCTAATGGACAACACCTGTAGCCTTGAGTGCAACTTTTTTGAAACTCCTTATTTCGTATGCATTTGCTATGAAGAATCAGAGTTCATAACAACTTGCCCCTGAGCCAGCAGGAGTACCAATGTAATTGATACATCCATCCACACCACGCACCTCCACCCCAACCTGAACTCTTCACCAACGCAACACTACATGCATGATAACTTCATCCTGTAGACTTGACAACTCATACTCTACGGTCTTGGCAGTGATATTCTCGCAAAGGTAAGCAGCCGCCGTGTGAAATTATATGATTATATTGACTGACAATCGCCGATCGGTTAGTGTATCTACGCGCGCGGCTCACGATGGCTGCCGCGGTTGAACGAGTCTGATGGGTCTGCCCGAGATCTCTCCAAAGATCCTCTACTGGACCTTGAGTCTGACCACGGCTGGCTATGTCTCAGTGATCACGACAACCTCTCGGACGATGAAACGGAGATTGAGAGTCCTCCTGGCAGCCAGCAGGTCACTTCCAATGGGTTGGACCAGCCCCTTGACTCTGGTCCTCAGCCGGTGATCGAGGCAGACAGCAATACCTCCGATGGCAAGTTGGAGAAGCCATGTACAATGCTGCATCGACATGAGCCTGTATTCCTCAAGTTTTCACAAGAGTCTCCTCGGATTTTGGTCAACTCTGTGTCTGCTACCAAAGATCTCATGCAACTCATAATCCTAGTCAATAAGACTAATGAGTACAGGGCGGCGGAGGCGAAACGATAGACAGAACATGACAAGGATGTGATGTTGATCTTGAAGAAAGTCGATCGTGCCTATTAAGAGATACTAACCCGCATGAGAACCATGCAGCAGCGTCTCGATAAGACCATCGCCGAGATTTTCACGAAGATCAACGCTTCTATGCAGGAGCTCCTTGATGAGACCGTCACTGAGACTCTCACGCAGATCAATGCTTCTATGCAGAATGGGACGGAGCTATACGAACAGGCAGCCCTCAGCGCTTTTCAAAAGCCCGACATTTTCAAGACAGGCATCGAGAAAGTCGTCGCCGAATTGCAGCCACGTATCAATCGTCAAGCCGTCATGAAGAAACAGGCAGCCATCCGCGCCTTCGAGGAGTCTGGCATTTTCAAGACTATCGTCGAGAAAGCTGTCGCCAAATTGCAACCACACATCGGTCATCCAGTTGACAATGGCAACAATGCATTGGATGAGGACATTCAGTAAGCCAGCTTCGCTAAAATGACACATCTTTGCCTTGAAAATGGCATGTCTATTGATATTTGCAATATGTAAGTTGATGCAGTTGGTCACGATTGATTGTATCACTAACTCATCAGCTAGGGACTTGGCATATGTTGGCAAGCAACTGCTTGGGGATATCCTTCGACATGAGAAAAACAGACGGTGTATCTGGTGCCACGTTACAAACAAACAGTTTGATATGGGTTTATGGAGATAAGACGCATTAGAATGGGTTGGGTAGTAAATAGCTTTGCTGCTGGCTTGAGTTTATAGCAAAAACAGAGAAAGGCTGCAGGATTCGAACTCGCGAACAAAAACGAAGAGTGGCCGAGGGAGGAAGATTTTTAGGAGCGGATTTTAGGTTCATAGGTTATAGGTAGATACCACTCGACCACTCTTCGTGGAAGGGTAGAGGATGGCCTTAGTATATAATCCTTTCCCTAGGCATGCCCTTGTAGCAGCAGCAAAGAAGTGACGGTGACTAGTTGCGTAATTGAGCTCCCCCAAAACAGAGAGGAGCAGGGCGAGTAGGAAAGTCAGGGTTCCAAAATGTCAAAGGCTCGAAAGGTTTCGGGAGGTGTCCCATCGTAAAAGGCCATTAAGTGAGGTAGATCGCGTATTTAATTGCGCCTGCCTGCAGAGGCCGTCGTTGATACGCAGTTGTAAGGGAACCCCAGTCACTCGTGTAGACATAAAAAAGTTCGATCATCGTCCGCCTTCGGTATCATCGTATAACCCTTAACCGAATTTCTTCGAGCCGCCCTTCTGAGTCGTCTTTTTATCCGTCTTCTTCTTTCCTTGTCCAAGCAATTCCAGATGTCCTGCGCGCTCACCGAGGAGCGCTTCAGTGCGCGCCGTCATGCCGCTTGTGAATTTCTTGTGCACCTTGTCGACGCTCGCTTTTGTCTTCTTGGGTTTATGCACTTTCGATGCTTGTCGTTTTGAGTGTGTGATCTTGGCCGGGGTTGCTCGTCCGAGCTTTTTGACCGTGCCTTGGGCCATTTTGAGGGACGTTGAGATAAAATCTGGTGATGTCGCAGGAAGAAGGTTGGAGCGAGAGAGTTGAACACTGTTGGGTCTGGTGGGGAAAAATAGAAATCAAGGTGAACGATTTTAGTGGGGCGTGATGCTCACCTCGGTGAGCATCCGGTCTGGAGCCAGGATATCGATTTACCTTCATCATAAAATAGGGATTAAATATATTTCCCAATCGCAAACACTTATAGCTAGTATCATGAATATTACGAATTTGTGGTGTCTATATGTGTCTAACTAGAAATCATGAATGGCTTCAATCAACAATCGGCATACCAGTGTATGCTCGAGAATGGTATCCTGGTGCTCCCCCGGCTACTAAAGAAGGCGGCTATGGCAAAGTGACATTTCATGAAAGGTGCCAACTCCTCAAACTTTCTATCTTTCGAGTCTATTGTTACCAGCCATCGCCCCAACCATCATCGTCATCTGTCTCCTTCGGCTTCATATCAATCTTTTTCGCAGCAATTGGTTTTGCAGCCGGTTTAGCCGCAGGTTTTTTAGCTGCACTTGATTTCGATAAACCCTTTGGCAAGGCCTTGGTAGGTTTCTTCTGTGATTGGGCAGCTAACCATCCAGCAAAGTCAGGCTCGCCATCATCATCAAAAGTGGCAGCAGATGCTGTCGTTGTCGAGGGCTGTTTTGAGGATTGGCCGGGAGAGTCGAAACTGTCGAAATCATCGTTCATATCTCCCCATGAGTCTCCAGCATCTTCACCATCATCGGCAGGTAAGAATGAGTCAGCTACTACACTTGCAGTATGTGAAGAGTTTCGCGAGAGTGTTGCTGGGGGAGATTTGACTGCTTGGCGGTGAAGTGACGAGGCGGTACTCGTTGCCGGCTTCTTTGGCTCGGAATTAGGTGAGGGTGCGGGCCCAGGTGAAGCAGCACGGGAGTCTGACTCCGCGTTAATTTCGCCTGCAGCCGCAGAGATTTTGTTTGTAAAGGAAGAGATTGCCCAGCCTGCCCAGCCACCTGGGGTGTTTTCGTTAGGCTGTGGAGTGCTCATCCGTGGAGCTGAGCCATCATTAGTTTGAGGAGGAGGCAAAACGCTTTCAGGCATGGCAGAAGCTGCCTTCTTGATCTTTTGGAGATATATATCCATAGTACGAATAGCAGAGTCGCGAATAATCTTCTCCTTATCAATCAGGGCAGGAGAGATAACGGGCAGGACCCTGCATGCGCTATCCTCATCTGTGAAATACTCCGCAGTGGCACCCAAGGCCATTAGGGAAGCATTCCGGGCATGAACAAATGGATCTCTGAGTGACCTAGTGAAGGCGGCAATAAGAACCTTTGAGCGGGACGAAGTACCCAAGTGCTTCGCAATTTTTCCCAAGCAGATAGTTGTATTTGTTCGAATGCCAGGCTGTTCATCATTTGCGGTTCTTGCAAGTTGTTTGAGGAGGTCACCATTGATTGTGCGGTCCGAGAGCTTAGTGATGATGACCAAAACAGACTTTAATGTTTGTTCTCGTACCACCGGTGTCACGTCAGTGAAGCCAGTGATCTGTACATGTTAGTCTTGCATTGAAGAGGAGTAACAGAGACAGTACCAATTGTGGAAAGATCTTGTCGTTGACGATCTTCTGTGATAGCTGATCAATCATCAAAGGAAGGCTATCCAATAAGCACACTCGAATAGCTCGGTCGGGATTTCCAAACAGGCGAATGATGAATGGTGTAATCTTTGAATCAAAGTCGTCTTTGGGGAGTTTAGACGCGATTTTGAGAACTACAGATACAGCCCTAGGGCCACCACCACCGAACTCAGCGGACTTCATCAGCTCTGGCATAACCTTTAGCTTGAAGAACTCTTCTGGGAAGTCATCGCTCAGTTCATCCAGTCCGCTGTTCAAATACTTAGCAACTTGGAATTATGGAAGGAGTTGCAGATATACCTAAGGAACTCTTCTCGCTCATCTGGCGTCTTGATGTCCAGGTTATCGATACCCTCTGTCAGCTTGATGAGAGAACTGTCAAAGAAAGAGCCATTTCGGTTGCCTTGATCAAGGAAAGCTCCCACACTGATTCGCGCCTTTGGGTTGGCGTTACACAGACGCTTATAACTGGACTGCATTGAAGGGGGGATGCTCTTCGTTTGGCCAGCCTGATCAGCTCCATTGTAATCGCCGTTGAAAACTTCAAAGATCAATGTTCCAAGATTAAATGCGTCTACTGCTGTATGGGGGTTCTTCTTGATAACATCCCATCCGCCTCGTGCCAACTCTGGAGGAGAGTATCGACCCGCATCAGGGACCAAGCTACCGTATGTCTATGTATATGTTAGCTTGAGTATACGGGTACCTATCTGGGGACCTCTTGCATATATTATTGACTCATCGTCCTTGAGGCTGCTGAGAACATCAAAGCCACCGAGCTTCCACTCGCCACTCTCTGATGTATATATCGATCCAACCTTGATGCTGCCGTGGATCGAGGAAGCGTCTTCGTTGATGAATTTTATAGTGCGCTGTGACATTATTAATATCGATTAAAAGACTAGCATAGCAAGTCATACCGCAACGCTATGCAAGCCCCATTTTATCGTCTCAGGGCTGAGACTCTTTCTTCGAACGTGCCATCGTAGGGGTACTACTCGTTCGGTCGCAATGTAGATATACGTCTCGGTCTACCAGATGTTGTCAGCGGAATGCTCTTAAATAGACTGCAAGTCTTGCATGTACCTCGACCGCATCTAGAAGTTTGATCACGCCTGGGTGCCGTAGTGTTCGGAGCTTCTTTAGGGCATTCTTGGCCAGGGGGAGTTGGGATCGGTTGGTGGTGATATCGAAGGAAAAGATGCTGCAGTTTGAACCATCTTCCTATTCATAGATTGTCAGCAAGTCCACGTTTTGAGCTCTGCGACGTTGAGCTTACCCTCTTGGTACCATTGTACAGGGTCCAGATAGACTCATCGATATCAACCTTGTCACCAAAGTTGTATGGAAAGGGAGGGCCTTGTGCTATGGCCGAGGCCACGGCAGATTTGAGAAAGTTCATTCCAGGGTCGCGAAGTCTCGAAGTTCTATTGAGGCTTGAGCATTCAGCACCCTAGTTGTCGAGAATCGGCATATGTACAGGTCGAAAATATTGCTGTTTGTAGACGAATGATATATTGGTTCCAGAGTCGCAACGTGGTTACATACTGGCGCTGTACGTCAGGGAGCTCAAGACCCCCGCGCTAGTGCCTGATAAATTTAACAGGGGATGGAGGGGTGTCAGGGTTACCTAATCCATGTGACCATGTAAGAGCCCAGAGCATACGGAGCACCAGCAACATACTAAAGTATGGGCTTTGGATAGGTCATGATGTATACATATAACTCCGTGGAATCTAACATCGAGGTATGTTTCATTATATCGCCACTAAATGGACTGTAGAGGGAATTAGGCCTGGTGATCGGACTTGGAGAGACTTAGATATGAAGACAGATTTGGGGCGGAACTTTTCTCTGTATCCAATGGAACCCAAAGCGAGTGGTTTGATCAAGAAAACTGAAGAAACTTTAGTTGAGACAAATCAACGCGGTCACTGAGTCCCTGGATTAATGGCTTTTGAGGCGTCTTATTCGCATCACAAAGAATGTAAAAGGTGTATTAGGTTTGGACCTGGATCTTCTATCTTTATAGTGCGTTTATACTCACCAACTACAGAGGTAGCAGTCTTGAATAAAACCTAGGCTTAACTAAGCTTCTATAAAGATAAGCATAAGTCAATTTATTAGTCGCCTACCTATGTCTTGAGTCAACAGGCAGTGGAGGGCAGAATTTCCCTTTGGGGACGCTCACGGGTGTAAGTTGATTGACTTGTGGGGCTCCACTGGTAGGCCTGGCAGCCGGGGCGGAAGAATTAGTCTTCCAGCTCGGGGTAACTCACCTCGGGAACCCCCCCACCAGGGAGGTCTTCCCGGCGCCTCTGCACCCCATCCTTCATCATCATCACT